CTAGTCTACAGTTAGCAATTTCCCCTTTATATACTCTATTAAAGTGAATTATTAAGCGTAGCCTATACTTAAGGGGAGGGGAATTAAGTTCTTCTGGAGGGAGAAATATCACAAGTAAGACTACAAGCCAATTATTTTCTGGAACGTCTCTCAATTTGAGTTTGTCCTTTTTTCTTAAGAATTAGATTTGTTAGGTAACTTTGACAGGATTATCACAGAAGTGATGCTGCACCTTTTTTTTTTTTTTTTTTTGAGACGGAGTTTCGCTCTTGTTACCCACGCTGGGGTGCAGTGGTGCGATCTCGGCTCACCGCAACCTCCGCCTCCTGGGTTCAGGCAATTCTCCTGCCTCAGCCTCCTGAGTAGCTGGGATTACAGGCACATGCCACCATGCCCAGCTGATTTTTTGTAGTTTTAGTAGAGACGGGGTTTCACCATGTTGACCAGGATGGTCTCGATCTCTTGACCTCGTGATCCACCCGCCTTGGCCTCCCAAAGCACTGAGATTACAGGCGTGAGCCACCGCGCCCGGCTCTACTCTTCTTATTGTATCAGGTGGCAAGTTTTATTTATCTCATTATTGAAAATGTTTACTTTGATCAGTTAGGGTGGAGTTTTCTAGGCTTTTCCACTGAAAATTATTCTTTTCTACTATGTAATTAATATGTATTTTTTAGGAAGGAACACCTTAACTATTTTGATATACTGTTTCCATAAAAAGCTCAATTTATTCTTTACCTATATTTGTAAAGACACATGCTTTCCTGTTTTTAGTGTATTACTCTCATTATTTAATTGGATGCTCATTTCATCTCTGCTTTGGCCCACTAAATCTCACTTCTGTGTCCTTCTGACATATCTCTATCACTATTCAAGTAATTTTCTGTGATTTTTGGAGAGAACAAGATGCTCCAGGCTGACCTTGTGCTTTCCATACCCTAGCCCTGAAATCAGCCTTTTTCCCCCCCCCCAAGTATTACTGGTTCCTTTTAAAAAGTGATATTTAGAAACCAAGTTCTAGGGGATGGGTGTGCTCAAGATGGGCTGTTTCCAGGGGACTCTTGGTGGACAGCTAGGAAACACACACACATACACAAACACACACAGAGTTATACACAAATAGGCATACACACATTTGCATCTACACTTACGCCTACATTGAAATACAATAAACAAAAACCATCAGTGCAATCACTCTGATTCTTTATTCTAATAACACACCATAGGGTTAATTTAGCTTTCTTCTTCATGTAAGTAACTCCCTGCTTGGAGAGTGAAAAACTTAGCTTCATCGCTCTTAGTATATTTAAGTATCTGATAAATTTCCCTGTTCATAACCAATATGCCATCTCTGTTGTCACCTTCTTCCATGCAGGTCCCTTTATCTACCAAGAGTTCCGATTCCCTGTGCTCTGCCTCCCACCTGTGTGGAAACTCTCATAATGCTTGTGTTCTGCTGTTCTAGTCTACTCATGTTTGGCAACCCCCGCCTCATCCCAGCAGGGCTCTGAATCCCACATTGGGCCCATACCTTAGAATTATGTTCTAGTAACCCGCTCACGTGTGACTCCCCATGTTTGACTGCCCCCATGGATGGATGCGTTCCTAACTTTGCCAGTCCACAGGACGTACTCTGCACCCTGTGGTGCTCTCACATGCCTTGCTGGGCAGCCCTCTCACAGGGAGTGGGCTGGAAGAGATGCTTGGGCTCTGATCCTCCAGCCTGGCCAGCACATCACTCCCCACCTCCCCCTGCCCTGCTGCACCACCAGTGCTGCCTATGGCTTTAGGACATTGTTCAGATAGAAGAAAAAGGAAGTACTCTTTGGCTACTCTAGACAGAATTTTCTTGATTTATTTCCTTAAACCTTTCAAATATTGTCCTTTATGGTAATTTTAATAACAAAAGTCCCCAGGTGGTCAATCTAGTTTCTATTTTTCACATACAGTGGTTTTTTCCCTTGTGCATTTTGTGATCTTTGATTGTAAGTCTATAGTTGGTTGATCTTAAACTGTGAGCAATGTAGGTGGATAATTTGAGAAAGCCCTTCCAGGATCTCTGGCTTAACTTGGGGGCCTCCTCAAAAGCTGTCCAACAAGTTGTTTCCTATTAGCAGTGTGAATGGGGATGACTTCCCCAGGGAAACCCTGACCTTCCTGTATGCTAACCTCTTACTGCTCAGGCTTTGGCTCTGGTTTTTTTTTTTTTTTTTTTTTTTGCTTTTTTTCTTTTTAAGAGATGAGGTTCTGTCACCCAGGCTGGAGTGCAGTAGTACAATTGTAGCTCATAACCTTGAACTCCTGGGCTCAGATGATCCTCCTGCTTCAGCCTCCAGAGTAATTACGACTAGTAAGGCATGCACCACTATGCTTGGCTAACTTTTTTTATTTTTATTTTTTTGTAGAGATGGGGTTTCACCGTGTTATCCAGGCTGGTCTTGAAATCCTTGGCTCAACTGAGAACACCTGCCTTGGCCTCCCAATGCATTGGGATTACAGGTGTGAGCCACTGAGCCCAGCTTTTTGCTTCCTTCTTGATCTTTTGGAGACATTCTTCCTAAAACCAAGCAATACAATAAAAAATATTTTCTACAGAACCTGTTTGCAGGAGGAGGGGAACAGAATTTCCAGTTCATCATACTGACAGAAGAGAAAGATTTCTATATTCACTTTATTTATGAAAGAGCCAATCTTGCTTTTAAGATTTTCAATGGGATATGTATGAAACCGCAGTGCTCACTAGGTAGTTTTCCTAGGTTTAACCACTGACACTCATACAATGGCACACCTGGAAGCAGCTCCACTTAGGAAGATTGAGAAGAAACACACCTCATGGGGTCCATACAGGCATATGAGCTATACTCTTTGGTTTCCCAAATGCAATTCAGATGCAAACCAATATGGGTGTGGGCTTGGCTTGGAGGTCCTTGACCGGCAAGAACCAGTATCTCTCGTATTTGTTCCCTCAGTTTATCTTTTAGATTCCCACACTCAGTTAAGACAGTAACTGTCTAATAATGGTATGGCTTTCTACCAGGTGTTTAAAGTATTTTCAAGCCAGAGGCAGTGTAGAAGTCAGAGATCATTTTTACCACAAGCAATGTTTTATTTATTTATTTGTTTTGAGACAGAGTTTCACTCTTGTCACCAGGCTGGAGCGTCGTATCTTAGCTCACAGCAACCTCTGCCTCCTGGGTTCCAGTGATCCTCGTCTGTCAGCCTCCCGAGGCGCTGGGATTACAGGTATGTGTCACCAGCTAATTTTTGCATTTTTAGTAGAGATGGGGTTTTGCCATGTGGGCCAGGTGGGTCTTGAACTCCTGACCTCAGGTGACCCACCCATCTTGGCCTCACAAAGTGCTAGGATTCCAGGCATGAGCCACTGAGCCCGGCCTACAAACAACGTTGTTTTATACCACAAGTGACATTCTATCTTCATAAGGTTTCTACGGAAAATTAAAGTTAACCCAAAGTGAAATTTGTTCAGAGATAAGGAAAAGGGGTTGGTTAAATCTTTACTCACAGTAATTTATCAAGAACTTCAAATACTGAGTGTCCATGCTCAAAATTTTTCCAGAGGGTGTTTGATCAAAAAAGTTTAGAGACTCTCGTTCTAGAGAAATTGAGTTTCAAGTGGCTTATGAGATTGTTTCATGTGTTAATTTTTTTTTTTTTGTGGCATTCTTCTCAAGATCACCATTGAATTATCCTGAAAAATATATTCTGAGTTAGGCATGCCATCCTCTACAGTTCAAAAAATACAGTAATGAAAGGTGATGAAAAGTTCAAGCCATTTAAGTATGGATGTATTAACGAGCTTTCTGATGGAGATTATTTTTTAATGGGTTGCTTGCAAAGCTTTTTTGGGGGGAATGATTTCTCACGGTTGAATAATTATTTTTAAAAACTGTTTTCTGATTTTTATTTTAGGTATATTTCCGTTAGCTGTTAATCCAGGAATATTTATTTTTTAATAAAGTGTGACAATTTCGAACATAAACATTGAATTTTACAGTAAATATTCTTTTAGCTAAGAGGATTCTACCATTAGCATTTTATTACACATACCGTTTTATCATCCCTGGGTCCATCCACCAATGCATGTCCTGTATGGACGTCTCGGTTGTGAACTCACGGCCCTGGACCTCCAGTTTCATGCCTCTCCACACTGCGGGGTCCTCTACATTGTTGTGTAAGTCACCTTTCTAACATACAAACCTTATCATGTAAATTTTGTTTTTAAAATCTTTCAATAGGCTCCCCAGAGTCAGAAAGCGTCCCGAAGTCCGGCATCGTGGCCCCTGCCTACCTTTCCAGTCTCACTGCTGGGTCGGCACCCCTCATTCAACGACATGGATCAATGTTTGCAGGGGTGTGCACTTAGCCCCTTCCCCGACTGCGACCACTCAGCCCGCCTTCCCGGGCCCCACACCCCAAAACCCCTGAGCCCTTTCGTCCACGGCCATCTGACCGCCCAGCACCCTTTCCTTCATGACACGTACGAGGACTTCGTTCCTTAACCTTTCTCACCGCTCAAAGTGCAAGCTCAGAGAGGAGTGCCGGGCGCTGTCCGTCCTACTCACGTCTCGGTCTCAGGGCTGCAAGGCGCAGGGTCAGTGCCGGCCGAGACCCGGGGCAGGGCGGGCCGAGACCCGGGGCAGGGCGGGCCGGAGAAGGGGATGGGGTCCGGGGGCGCGGGCCCGGGGGGTCTTGGGGCGCAGGGGCTGGGGCTCGAAGGCGCCGCACGGCTGCGCGCGCACCCCAGCTCGCGGAAGCACCCGCCTGAGTTGTGCACACCCCACCCAGCCCTACACCCAAGCCGTCGGCGTCCACGACTGCAGCTCATCCAGACCCCACTCTCCAGCCTATTGTCCCGACACAGAAACCCGCGTTAAGCCCCCGGACCGTACGCGGGGCCTTCCGTCCCCGACTCCTAACGGAGACCGGCTGCCGTAAAGCTTCGCTTTGCCGACTGCTGCAAAGCGCCTTACGACTGAACGCGGAATCAACCTACGGCCAGCAGTCGTCCCCGCCCTGCTTCAAACATTTGGGTTTCAGGAGCCGGGCGGAGGTGGCCGCCGTGTGTTTGCCTTGCACGCGCGCTGTCCAAAACTCGGCGGCGGCCTCGGGGCTGCTGCGGCCTGGGCGGGTGCAGTCCCCGGCGCCCGCCCGCCTCCCGGCCTCCATCATCCCAGGGTGCACCGCGGCGGGCGCGGGCCCGCGGCCATGTTGCGGTAGTTTGTTGTTTTCTTCCTGCGGAGGCGAAGGGGCAACTGCGGACCGCAAAGCGCCGGGTCTTGCCTGTGCCTCCTGCAGCCGCCTCCCTTCCCTGTCCTCCGCCACCCGTGCCCGGGTCCGGACCAGGCACGTCGGCCCACCAGCTGGCTTGGTGGGCGAGGCTGAAGGCCGGGCCCCGCGAGTGCCATGGCGGCCGCCCTGGGAGCGGGCGGAGGAGCAGGCGCCGGAGGTACGTGGGGCTGCCCGGCTCGGGGGGCCGGGGCCGCGCCGCGGCGGGCGGGGGTGCCGGCCGGGGAGCCTGCGACTTAGGGGAGGACGAGGCTCTCCCGGCTCCGACTCTCTTTGTGTGCGGCCTGTGCAGTTTTCTCCCCCGCCTTCCCTCCCCATTGTCATTCTCCGTGTCTCGCCCCTCCTCTCCGCTGTGCCGATCGTACTTCCCGGTGAACTTCTGTGTGTCCTCTGCTTTCCAAGGCCGCCTGAAGTGTCAGGCCCGTCTCTGGCGTTGGCGGGCATTGAGTGCCGAGCCGGCCTTGTGTCCTCAGGGCGAGGAGAGCGCTCCCCCGCGCGACAGTGTCACTTGGGGGGAGCGGGGCGGGTCGCTGTAGGGTGGGTGGTTAACATTGTGGGGCCATCCTGACAGCTTTGGATTGATTTCAAGCCCATTACCAGAACGTAACGAAAAGATTCACCTGTGTGAAGGAATGTGTGGCAGTAGGCCATTTTGGAAACTGAGAATTCTTGAGAAATAGTCTCAATAAATTCCTTTTTTTAAATTAACTTGTTTGTTGCCTAATAAAAACCTGTTAGCGTTTTATTACTAGCATCTTGCAAAACTGAAAACGTGACATAAAGGGTTTAGATACTGAGTCAGTTCCTTTGGATAGTTTCTCTTGTTTGCAAGCATAAACACTATTGATGAAACATCTGTCTCTAAAAAAATTGTAGGTAACTGGCCGGGCGCGGTGGCTCACGCCTGTAATCCCAGCACTTTGGGTGGCCGAGGTGGGCGGATTACCTGAGGTCAGGAGTTCGAGACCAGCCTGGCCAACATGGCGAAACCCCATGTCTACTAAAAAATATAACAACAACAACAACAACAAAAAGCCGGGCATGGTGGTGTGCGCCCCTGTAGACCCAGCTGCTCAGGAGGCTGAGGCAGGAGAATCTCTTGAACCCGGGAGGCGGAGGTTGCGGTGAGCCGAGATCGCGCCATTGCACTCCAGCCTGGGCTACAAAAAAAAAAAAAAAAAAAAAAAAAGAAAAATAAAAGAACAATTGTAGGCAAAACCACTTTCAGGTAAAATTACAAATCACTGGGGTTTTTAAAAACGTCAGATATTTGAAAGTGACTTTCTGAATGATAATTTTGAAAACTTTGAAAAGATGGTAAAATATGGATAGCGAAAGCATTTTGGAGTAGTTATTGAAACGTTAAAAAAAAAAACAGTCTAGTGTATACTCGAGAAGTATTTTTTAGTAAATGCTAGCAGATGGTTGCATTATAATCATGCTGTTTAGGAATTTTGACCTAAATGTCAAAACGTTTGCCTGACAAAATGGAAAAACGAAACTACAGATACTAAATGTAGGAATGTCGCTTCTTACAATTTGATTTGTTATATGCCACTTTTAGTGTAAATACATGATGTTTTGGGTGTTACATCTGAGACTTTGTAATCAAAATTTTAAAATATATAGTTTACCTATCTTTTTGGGGATCAAAATTATGTGTTTTATAGCATTCCCAGAGTAATCTGGGAACTCTTGGGTCCACACTCTTTTAATTGGAAAGACTAAGGTGTTACTTGTATTTTTTCCCTTTTCTTTCAGTAATGTACAGTGGAGTTTTCTAGAGACTGAATAACATGTGAAGACATTACACCGATGGCTAATGGAATATATACTTGTGTTTTCTTTTGCGTTTCTCATTTTAAGTTCTAATATAGTAAATGTCACTGAATGTAATCCACATAAACAGGCTTTTTGGGTCTTCAGTAATTGTGACGTTAGAAGTTTGGAGAATTGCTATTTCAGAAGAATAGGTAGGCTTTATTCATGATGCTCTTGGAGTTTTTCCTTCCATTTTGTCACAAATGCCAGAGTTTCCTTTGCTCTTCGACTAAAACCAAACTCCTTGCCGAGGTTTGTGAGTTCTGTGTGACTTGGTCCCTGCCTACCACACCAAGGTGTTGTGTGATTGTTTCCCTTATCCTGGAAGTTCATTGCATGAGCTGTACCTTCTGCCTGGACTGCTCCTGCCCTGGCTCTTGCCAGAGCTGACTCCTGATCCAGTGGGTCTCACACTCTTAAGGGAGGCTTTCCTTGAGAATTTATCGTTTGAGGAATGTCTGTCCCTTGCTCATGTGCCTCCCTTCTTTTCATTCTGTAGCACCCTTGTTTGTTTTCTTCAGAACGTTTATCTTAATTTGCAATTTTCTTTAGTTATTTACTTGTTTTTTAAATCTGCCTCCCACAGTAGCCTGTAAGCATCATGAAGACAAAGATGCTGCCTGTTTTACCATGCATTCCACATGTTCCTGGCACAGAGCATGTGTTCAACAAACATTTGGTGAATGAATTAAAGAATGAAATGTTTTCTTTATGAATATGAAAAATATAATTGTATCCTAAGTTAGTCATTTCCATGTGATTTACCTGTGTAACTGATTAAATCATGTTACCTTGCAGAAATATTTGCATTGGTAATGCCTCATTGATAGCTACAGATTGCTTGTTTGCAGCTCAGTTTAGCATATTGTCTAGCACAGTGGCTTTCAAACTTTTTAAAATGGCGACTACAGAAGTGTGATTGACATTGTGATTTAGTACATACATAAAAGTGAAAAAAATTCATGAGCAATACTGGTCCATATTATGTCATGCACTCTAATGTTTTCTATTTCATTATAGTAAAATGCTGGTTGTGACCTAAATTAATTTCACAACCCATGAAATGTTCAAGATTGTCAGTTTGAGAATCAATGGTCTCCTGTATAGTAAATGGTTAATATTTATTGAATAAAAATGAATCTTGGCTATCCATAATCTGGGTAGCCAAAATAGGTACCGTGAAGTGTTTATAGGAGTGTCTGCTTATTTTTTATTTTTATTTTTTTTGAGACAAGGTCTTGCTCTGTTGCCCAGACTGGAGTGCAGTGGTATGGTCATGGCCACTTGCAGCCTTAGCCTCCTGGGCTCAGTTGATTCTCCCACTTCAGCCTCCTGAGTAGCTGGGACTGCAGGTGCGCACCACCACGCCTAGCTAATTTTTGTATTTTTTGTAGCAGGCTGGTCTCAAACTTGGGCTCAAGTGAACTGCCCCCCTCAGCCTCCCAAAGTGCGGGGATTCCATGAGCCACCATGCCCTGCCATGGTAAATATTGAAGAAGTCATTTGATACTGCAGCTAAGCAGTAAGGATAGAGAAATGGAATTGCTAACCTTACTAATAGCAGAGAGAATAGCAACTGTTATAAATTGGAGACTGAAAACAAAACATAAAGGCAAAAGCATGGCATTTTGTGGACGGAACAATAATTTAATAAGTTTCAAGATCTTACAGTGCCAGTGCTTCCATGTAAAATATAAAAACAAAAAATCAGTTACAGAAATCATAAAAACCCTCCAACCTAGTGAGTGCATTATCTCACTTTCTTGGGCCTTAGCTATTCTGATTTTATAGGTGAGGTAAAAACAGAAACGGGTGCTTGTAAATTTTTTTTTGTTTTCTAGTGGATTCTTAGAAATAAAAAGTTTTAGTGGAAAATTTCAAACACACCCAATAGTAAAATAATGAAACCACATACCCATCACCTAGCATCAACATTTTAGCAATCTGTCTTCATCCCCCACCTCCACTTTTGTATATTTTGAACAAATTCTAAAATTTTAGAGCAAGATGCACTGCTGGGTTAAGACTACATAGTAAACCCGTTCTCTGAATTTACAATTGAGAGTAAACTAGCCCAGAAAAGTTCAGCCACCTAACTTTAAGACAGGGAAGTAGACTAGAATTTAGGTCTTTTAGTTCAGTGTTCCTTCTGCTGTGCCAGTATGTAGTAAGGCAGGAAAGTATGAAGCATGGTGCAAAAGGTTTTCATATGAAATTGTGAAAGTGAAACAAGTTTTAGTACTTCAATGGTAAAATTTACCTGGTAGGAAATTTGAGAAGCATTTTAATCACTGATAGTGCTGATAAATGAGATTTTTTTTTTTTACTGATAATCGTGTATCGCAATTTGATTCTTTTCCTTCAAGAAAAATTTTCACACTTAATTTCTTAGCTTCAACAGAGAGGTTGAGGAATGGTGAAAGAATGGCCTCTCTCATTTCAGCCATGAGTACTTTTAGCATTTCTTGTAGGGCAGGTGTACTAATGACAAAGTCCCTTAGGTCATATCTGGGGATATAATTTTTGAACGTCAGTTGTCAGGTAAAGAATTCTTGGTTGACAGTTGTTATCTTTCAGCATTTTAAATATTTCATCCTGGCACCTTCTGGCTTCCGTAGTTTCTGATGAGAAATTGACTGTTAATCTTATGGAGGATCCCTTGTACATGACATGTCAATTCTTTCTTGGTGTGTTCAAGATTCTCTTTGTCTTTGGTTTTTCATGGTGTGATCATAATGTGTCTTGGTGTGGGTCTCTGAGTTTATCCTGCTTGGAGTGTTGAACGTGTAGGTTTGTGTCTTTCACCAAATTTGGAAGTTTAAAATTTTCTTCTCCACTTCTTTTTCCTGTTACTTTGTTTTCTCCTTTCTCCCATAATGCATACATTAGTACTCTAGTGATGTCCCCTGTTTTTTAAGGTTCTGTTCATTTTTTTCCCTGCTCCTTAGACTAGATAATTTCAGTATTTTCCTGTTTCTTCAGCTGTAGCACCCATTTGTTTTCTTCAGGACGTTTATCTCAATTTGTAATATTCTTTAGTTATTTACTTGTTTTTAAAATCTGCCTCCCTAGCCTGTAAGCCTCATGAGGACAAAAAATGCTGCCTGTTTTACCATGCATTCCACGTGTTCTTGGCACATAGAATGTGTTCAACAAATGTTTGGTGAATAAATTAGAGAATTAAATGTTTTATTTAATGAATCTGAAAAAATATCTGTAATTGTATCCTAATTTTATGATAGTCAATTCCACATGATTTACCTGTGTAACTTATTAAATCGTGTTAACTTGATTTTTATGAGTCCCTCAGTTTTGGGACTGAAAATTGGACATTTTAAA